ATGAACTGACCATCTCGTAAGCAAGCAAAGTACTGATGCTTTAGTATTCAGTGAGAGAAATGAGCAGAAATAAATGCAACTAGGTGAGAAAATTGGAAAATTGCAGGAAGGTGTTTGTATTTGTGCTTATTGTGGCTTGTGTTGAAGTAGTGTGTAGGCTGGCCCTACATCTCCCTCTTGCCTGCCCCATATGCTGTGGTGGCTGGGCATGGCACCTCCCAAAGAAACATGTGCCGTGAGGACGACCAACTACACCCTGGTGAGACATGCACCAACAAAAAATTTTAACGACTAAATACTGTATTGCATTTGTTTTAATAACCACTTGAACATCCAGGATGATGAGCATAAATAAATTCATAGCTATTGCAGAATACTGTGTACATATATGTACTGTATACACAGCACTCTTTACAGAACACCCGAATAGCATCATGAATTCTATAAAAAATTATTTGGGATAACAACAGTAGCCTAACAGTCAAGAAGGAAGCCTTGCCTTGGGCTGAGCTGCTGGGATATAAGAATCCTTGAAACTAGTCACAGGTATGTTCCTACATGCTGCCACTAGTATTCTTGAGAGGGGAGACTGAAAGATGGGGCACTGTTTGTGATCCTGTAAAATGTGGTTATGGGGAAGAAATGCTAAGGCTCAGTTATGATTGAAGTCTTAATACAAGTTCTTGTTGCACTCAGATTTTGTTCTGGTATCCCCCACAAAAGGAGGAGGGATGGAATATCTGAAAATCCAGTTAAAGGGAAGCCTTCAGCCTGATTTTATATAACTTTATTGATCGATTTTTACCATGGTTTATCAGTGCCACTGGGTTTTCTTAGATACAAAATTTTAATCTTTGGATTGTATGCATTGGAATTGACATTTTTTTCCTTTTCCAAAAATGTAAAATTAAATTTTCTTAGCTAATGTAATTTCAGCATGAAAGTAACACTTGTGCACCTCAGTCTCAGTTACAGTAATATGTACTGTACTTGTGAGCTGAAATTTACCACCTCAGTAATAGTACAACCTAATTTTCATTTTATGTTAATTTTTCTATGGGGTTACAAATATCTATTTCTTAACTTTCTGTTAAAAGTGTTAGTAAAGTTTGGTCTCCTGTTTATTAAAAATTTTTGTTTGTGAGGGTTGCAAATCTTTAGTCTGATTAATGACTTCTTGACCACAGTTGTACTCTGTCCTCAGTATTTTACTCATTTCTTTGTTGCCATCTTCCTTAAGCAAAGACCCTTAGATACGGTTTTTACCTTTGATTTCTCTTAGGAGAAATAGCATGGAGTCAGGAACCTTCAGAAGGTTCTGCAGCACTGAATCCCATAGAATACACCTACCATCCGACTTACGACCGTGTATTTTATGCCAAATTTCTGGGAAATAAACAACTATTTGTGTTGTACACAGTGTTTATCCTAAACCTTACAGTATAAAATACAGTACTAACAACATAAAAAGTAAAGTAAAACATGAAATACCAAAATAAAACAATAAAATAAAGTCATTACAAAAATGTTTTGTTGATATTCAGTAGTAAAGTTCAACTTACGACCATTTCTACTTACGACCGGTTTCTCGGAACCGAACTCGGTCATAAGTCGGATGGTAGGTGTATTCTTCTTTTTATACAGTATTGCTAATGGCATTCCAACAATTTGGAATGTAATGTGCTGCATTCAGATTTAATAAGGTTGTGATCTGAGATTGATCTTCTCAAAATTGTAATGTTTTGTATAGTATCTTTATTTGTAAATATAAGGTCTAGGGTGTTTTCACTGTGGTCAGTTCTGTTACCTTCTGGCTTAATACAAATTTGTACAATACATGCTGAACTGTTCATACAAACTTTCCAGGATTTTTTTCTGTTATCACAATATTTACTGTATTTTTCTAATATAGGTTTCTTTAATTGAAATTCGCAAATAGTATGATGATTGTAGGTGCATTTGTAAGGGTTTTGAGACAGTGATTGATTTTTACCACTTGCATCTAGTAGCTTGTATACAAACGCTACTATAAATTCTGCTTTTCAGTTTTTAATGCTTTTGGCATTGTAATATAATACATTAATTACAGTACTTTTTGCTTAGGTACAATAAATCTGTATACAGTGCTGTTTAGACATTTTGGCATTGTATTTTAATGATGAAAATTGATATACATTGTGTACAGTAATATTCGCCAATAACAGGCTTTCTTCCAGCTTACATGGATACTGGCATCCCATTGTTCGTTAATAGTACAGTAGTGTTCTGCTTAAATGCATGGCGGCTACCATTTACTGTACTTGGAAAACTGAGAATTTTAATAAAAATGAGCTATGTAGTAGGCCTACTGGCACATGTCAAGGTTGCATAGGTCGGCTTAGCTCAGAGAGTAGATCTCTAAACTGGTCACAGCTCTGCCAAAGTCTAAGCACCTTGTTCAAACACGCATACTTTTGTTCTTTGTTTGCTGGTTAATTAAAATGCTTAATAAACCACAAAAGCACTAAATATTTTTTTCTTAGTTGAAAATAGCAATAAAGTTCTTTATGATAATTATTGTGTGTGGAAATTACCCATTTTAAGACTTTTCACTCTTACAGGATTGCTGTGTTTTTCTATTAAACATTTTACATGGTAGGCTTTTTCTGAAATAGTATTTTCTTTCCAATTTAGCACTTTCCCATGAATGTGATAATCCTGTTCCCAAGGAAAATGAGTTAGAATCCTTTTCCAGTATCCATGTTTGCTGCAGAAGGCAATTAAAATGTTCGGAACAAGAGATTGGTCACCAGTTTTCTGTATACTGTACTAGAAAAAATAATAACAAATTTTGGAGTTTGTTTGTATGGATGTAGTACTGATGTTAAGAAAAACTGATTGTAAATGTTACAAATGCAAGATACTATAACGAAGCAGACAACTAGATCAGTTTGATTGAAAAAATATTGACAGCAGACTTCTGGATGTGCTTGTATTGTACAAGTGTTTTAAGGAGAGATTGATATAGAAGATCGTTGTGTAGTAACAGAATAAAAGGAAGGTTGTGTAGGGAAAATGGAATGAGTAGTTAGAAAGGCATATGAAAATCAAAGAATGAGATGGCTAGAGGTATAAGTAACTTTTCAATAGTTAGTGAGATCAGGCAAAGAGGAGGAAATTGAAACAAAATTAGATTGCAGAGGAACAAGGAGGATTTGCAAAATGGACATATGTGGCTAAAGTGTTTGAATTGAAGTATATATGTGAGAAATACAATACAGTACAGTAGGGCCCCACTTATACGGTAGGTTAGGGTCCAGGCTACTGCCGGAAAGCAGACATTGCAGGAAAGCAGAACGCTATTTTTTTCCACTTCAATGTCAGATAATAAGTTTACACTAACATATATTAACTTAGCAATAGAACAAGGCATTAAAAACCAGTACTTCAAAATATTTGTAGTCTTAATGTAGGGTGAGAAGTGAGTAGCGTTTGTTGTAAGAAGTTAGGTGTGGTAGGTATGGCAGCCAGCTAGGCCACCCCACCCCACCCACACATAATACACTTTGACATTTAAAGAGCCCTAGAGTGATAAAATACATTTAGTGTACACTCATTACTTACCTTAAAATATTTTTAGTCTTAATGATCTTAATATAGGGTGCAAGATGAATAGTAGGGTAGGTAGGTATTGTAACCCCATCTGTCCACCCCACCCACATTATATACTAGGCATTTAAAGTGCCCTAAAGGGATACAATGCATTTACAGTACACTCAGTACTTACCTTAAAATACTTGTAGTCTTAATGTAGGGTGTGAGGTGAGTAAATGAGATTAAACGTATAAACGAGAGAGAGAATGAGAGAGAGAGAATGAGAATGAGAGAGAGAGAATGAGAATGAGAGAGAGAATGAGAATGAGAGAGAGAGAGAGAATGAGAATGAGAGAGAGAGAGAATGAGAATGAGAGAGAGAGAGAATGAGAATGAGAGAGAGAGAGAATGAGAATGAGAGAGAGAGAGAGAGAATGAGAATGAGAGAGAGAGAGAATGAGAATGAGTACATGAGAGTAATAGTTGTGTCAGACTCCAGAGCATTGCAAACTATCCAGAAATTTGACTCTCCTCATCCCATCATCCTTCATACACAGCATTAGTTACGCTGCATTTCTAGCAAACACAGAGAAGTCATTTTTTTGCTGGGTCCCTGGGCATGTCAGTGTTTGGGACAGTGAACAAGCAGACTCACCTGCTCGGTCGTCTATTTATGACCTTTCTATTTCCCACAGGGGTATACTTTTCTCAGAATATTTTTCAGGGATTTCTCAACACCTCTACCACTGGGAATAACATTGGTCTGATTTAGATCACAAATTGTTTCCATCAAACAATGTTTAGAATTCTGGCCACTTTCCATTGCTGTCACGTTTAGGGAAACTTTCCTACTTATGTATCGGACATATGCGACATGGAGATCATGTAGAGAAATGCCCGGCACTGGTCTGCATAGACAGTCAGGTCACACACTGTCCATCATATCTTAATATACTATCCTGTTTATTAAGAGGTTTTCAGGATTTACTTCTGGTGTCTCCACAACCTCAGTCGCTTTTTAGACAGACTCTTGACTTTTTTAATGAACTAACTTATTCTTACTTTTCACTCCACTCCCCTTGCACACCCCTACCTGTCACTCCTACCCTTCAAACATACCTAGTTTCACACATCCTTCCCTGCAGCGCTGTATGACTTCTGGGTTTAGTGCAAGATACGTATATAAATCACAACTAAGAAATTAGTGAGCTCCTGAAAGAAGAGTATAAATCCATTTTCAACTATGCAATTGGCACCATGAGAAGTTGAAGATCTAGAATAGTCCCTGTCTCATAAATCATATACAGTGGAACCTCTGCTTATGAATTTAATCCGTTCCGTGACCTAGTTTGTAACCCAATCTGCTCGTATGCTGAGTCAGTTTTCCTCGTTGAAATGAATTGAATGTCATTAATCTGTTCCAGCAGAATTCCTGCTCTGGAAGCAGGCCAAAATACTTGAATATGATGCAAATATCAATCTATGGCTTATTTATCTATCACAATTCATC